TAAATGGACTCTTGTACAGGCTGGACAACTGGGGTCTTCCAGACATTTCTGGACTGCAGCTGCCATAATCTCTCCCATTGTGCACAGTTAAAATTATGAATGAATGAATGTATTTATTACAGTCAGGTGACCAGCTCATGAAACATATTTATGGCTGAAATATAAAAACTGCAGTTTAAAAATGTACAACCAATTCATAAAACATATTATGTGGCTAAAATATAGAAATTGCAGTTTAAAAATGTACAACCAGTTCATAAAACGTATTATGTATTACATTCAAGAAAATAAAAATGAATTATGTGGTTAAAATATACAAAATGTAATTTTAAATGTTTACGACTAATTCATATGTTAAAATTATGAAATTCGCGATCACAGAATGTGGCAAAAGCTAACAATTTAGACAGCTTTTAAAAGGGATTAGACAAATTTATAGTGCATGGCATCTGTATGGCCACTGTGAGAAGAGAAACTGGAACTGTAATACTTTGATCCACCAGTCTCTTCTTACAGTCATTTCTTTGGAGTAGGAGAGAATTAGAGACTTCCTGCATAGTATTTCTTTTTAAAAAAGGACAACAGCATAAGCATGCATATACAGGTAAATCCCAAATAAAGTCAAAGAGGCACTCCTACCAAACAGCAGATCCACTGTCTATTGTCAGTTCTTCAAAAACAGAACTGACAATATAAACACTGTATCTCCAGTGTTTTATGCCTTTAACTAACTCCTCAGAGCTGTTCCCCCCCCCCCGCCACCATTCATTTTCCAGGGCAGAAACAGATGGGACAACATCTTCACAATTAGACATAATGCTGCCTTAAGAAATAAAAAGTGTGTCTGTGTGGGTGCCCATGCCTTCCAAGGGCAGGGGGATGATGAAAGGGCTATGGAGTTGGTCATCATCATGAAGTAAGATCAGTGCAGCAGAAACAGACGTTTATTTACAAACTATATACAGCAGTCTTTTGACTTCATTGCTTCCGAAGTTTCCTCGTCCCTCTTTCCTTCAAGTCCAACTCTTTTATGCTAGGGCAGTGAAGATTCGCCACCTACATTCTCAGTGCAGCTCCACTGTGTGTTGCTCTCCATCCCCAGTCTTTTAGTAGCCTTGTTCCCTCTTGCTCTCCTTAGCACAGGGTAAGGAGAGCAAGACTGTAGTAGTCTCATGAACTGACACCCAGTACCTGTATTTTGGGATAATCAAATTCTCTAAATACCCAGCACTTTGGGAGAAATTATAGCTTAGGCCAAGGTGCAAGATGGAGCATGCTTTACGAGCTATTGAAATAGGATACTGGAAGTCAATGCCCCTGATCCCCTTTTTTAAGATAGAGTTGGCTGCATTGGATTCCTGGGCATAAAGAAAGTCCAAAGAGAGCCCTAATAGATGCAGTTTGGCTGGAAAAGCTTTAAGCCATGAGCTGTTATGGCTATCTTTCTGTAGAAGGTTAAGATATCCCATAGAGGGATCAGCATGTATCACCCTGTTCCAATATCTAAAAGCAAAGAGCCAGGCACTGCATTCTAGTGATGTTAGACCAGTCTCTAATCGTAAGGCAGCTGCAGGGACGCATCTTGGCATTTCCAAAATGGATCTTAGAAAAATTGAAAAAACACTCTCTATACTTGTGTGAAGTCTTCGGATCAATGTTGGTATACCATGTAAGAGTTGGGGCAGAATCACTGAACTAGTCTTGGGTAGTGTCTTAGTGAAAGGTGCCTGACATACCCCACAGGCCATGGGCCACCTGCTCACACTCTCATTATCCTCTAGCTTTGTTTCACAGCTTTGCAGACTGTAAATTAGGCTTTTGTTTGTTGATTGGTCATTGGGAGGAAAGCACTGGTCCCCTTGCATTGTTTGTGCAAACTTAGTATCTCTGAAGTAATTTCCTTTTCTCTAATTTTGAAGCTGCCATTTGTATGTTTCTCTCCTCATAATAACAAACTATAAAACAATCATCTCAGGCCCACTTCCCCAACCTCTGTTGCTCAATTTGCCCGGAAACTTGGGGATTTTTCTTCTCTGTTATCTATTGGAACTTTCCTTTAGATACTGTTTTTAGGTAGCCACCCATGAGATTCTGGGAGGTACAGTCCCATAAAGTAATTTTTTCCCGTTTCTCATTTGAACATTACTCATATTTCACTGCTGCTTCTGAGTCACCCATTCAGAGGATTAGTTATAGCCACTGAAGCCATTATTATTATTTTTAGAAGTGCTAATCTGCTGATTTTTTTAAAAAAATATTCATTTGCTCCTTCCAACTGCTACTTATGTAAAAGGACAATACAAATAGGAAGATGTAGTATCTCAACCTCTTGATTGAACTATTGGATAGGTCGGTGGTATAGGCATTGGGCTGCAAAGTGAGAGGTTGGGAGTTTGATTCCCCACTGTGTATCCTTGACAGGGGCTGGACTTGATAATCCCTTCCAGCTCTTCAGTATTGAGATTATTATTATTATTCAAATACATTAGGCACAGTCAATCAAAATTATAAAACATTGATAACAGATACAAGAATCAACCAAAAACCTATGTGTTAAATAATGACACATTATGTAAGCTGTTCCTAATATTGCCATTTTTTGTAGCTCTGATGGTGTTGTTTCTGAGATTTGCAACTGCTTGTAATACTATGTGAAATGTCTTGATATTTTTCCCAAAGCCCCAAAGATTACGGGGACCACTGAAGCATGTTAGTACTAATTCCTTGGATCTTAGCTTTCATCATGTTGATTTGGAGTTCTTGTTCTTGTGCAACAAAAATAAGGCCTTCAGTTTCTTTCTTAATGGTTCCCAGTTTTAGCTGTGCCCAGGTTGAATTACGATTATGCTTTCCATCAATATTTCTCAGGCGTTGTCCATGTAGTGGTTTATTTTTCCAGCTGTTTAATTTCTTTTCAAAATGTTGTTTTTTATATTGAGCCTTTGTTTCTGATGCTTTCAAAATATTCTCCCTTTTCACTGCTTTCAGTAATTTTTCTCTGTTTGTAGTGATATAATCATTTTGGTTTCTTTTTTCTTCCTCTACTACCTGCTGTATTTGTAGTAATCCATGGCCTCCAATTTTTTATGGTAAATATAATCTGCCCACATCACTTTTTTTGATGTAGTGTTTGATGCATGTTCATTAGTTTGTGTTTTTCGATCCAATTCTTCTAATTCATTTTGAGTCCAATCTATTATTCCAGCTGGGTATCTAGTAACTGGAACTGCCCATGTGTTTATGGCTTTGATTGTATTTTCCCCATTTAATTTTGATTTTAAGATTTTCCAGTCTTTTGATATATTCCCTTTATGTCAGTTCTTTAACTTTTGTGTGCACAATATTGTCTGCTTCTAATATTCCAAGGTATTTATAATTGTCATCACTTGAGAGTGATTTTATAATATTGCAATTTTTTAAACTCTATCCCATCTAATTTTTGCATCTTGCCATGGTGCATAGACACATTTGTCAATTCAAATTTCATTTGGATATCTTCACTAAATATTTGTAATGCGTTTAGCAGTGATTCTATCTCTTTGGAACTTTTTGCATATAGTTTTAGGTTATCCATGTATAAGATTATTGATTTTTCCAGCTTGTTCTGAAATATGGTACCCCAATCCAGTTTTATTTAAAATTTAAGTTCCAGTAGCTTTGCAGCAGTCTGTTCTGGTCTCTCAAGAGGGTGCTGCTGAGCCCTGTAGCTCATTTGTCACCAGATGTCCAGGGGCTATAGAATCTGACGCGGTCCTTGTTGACCTGGGCGATGATTAATCTGGTATGGATTTTTATTTATTTCCTTGGTGGACACAGTTGGTCTGGTTTCTCATCTCAGAACTGTCTGGCTTGGGAGACCCTTCAGCATAGCTCTCAACCTCCCTGAAGCATGCAAGCACCTCTGCCTCAACAAGGTCTGTGCCCATGAAGCGGATGATGATGATGATGATGATGATGATGATGATGATGATGAAAGTAGCTTTCTTGTTCATAAGCAATATTCCTTCTTCATGGTCTCTGTGAATGCACACTAATGGGTTTAATCTGCGCCTGCACAGAGGTTTCTGGAATATTCTAGAGCTGAAACAAGTGTTTGCTAGGACCGCCCCCCTAGTACATGTGGTCTGCCCATCCTATCAGTTGCCTCAGTTCCTTTTTGCCGCCACTGAGGTCTCATCTCTCTGAGCTCCATTCACACAAATTGGTTCTTTCTGAAAGAAAACAAGATCACTGTTCGTATTTCATATAGATTGTTTGTACATCAAATAGATTCTTTATTTTTCTTCATCATCGCCCTTTCTCCCCCGCCTCCCATTCTCCCTTCCTTCCCACCTTTTATGGCCCCGGCAGGGCCCTTCAAGAGGTGCACTTTGTACACAAATAAATTACCCATATCTGATGGACACGATTCTTGCCTGTTCTGCTTGGGAGAATCACATCAACCAACCTCTTGCCCTTACTGCAAAAAGTTTACTAAACAGGCCTTCAAACTCCATTAACAACAATTAAAATCTTTCTTGTGGGAGCAGTCCCTCCAGCCAGCTCCTAAAATGGACAATTCTTGAGTTTCACAATTGCCACCAGCTTCTTCAGCCACCAGTTCTCCATTGCAGTCTCCCAGAAATAAGTCAAAACCACCTAAATTCAAGTCATCCGGATTGACATCCCAAACTACCTAAATCAACCCCTAAAAATGTGTCGAAATCTACCAGTAACAAACCAAAGAAATCGAAGAAGACTTCTGTGGACATCCAACCTTTGGTATGGCATCCTTCCATACAAAGTCAACTATCGATCTCGATACTGACAGGGAATCCACTCCGCCTCCGTCAGGCCAACCGCCCTCCCCTTTGCTCGCCCGGTCTCCATCTTGGGCAAATACCTTACCTGAGGTCACTGTACTATCCTATTTGGCCTGTTCGAGTCCCAAATCTTTGGCTGGCTCTGTGTCTGGGTGTGAGTCTGGATTGATGCCTGTTCCCGATCCAGTTCCTGTGAAGAAAAGGAAAGCTAAACTCCACCATACTGAAGACACTGGCCGTTCCGATACTGTTACCTCTCAGCCTCCGAGTCACTCAGGACTGCCGGTATTGCCAGGCTCATGGGCTCGACATCATTGGCCCAAACCTGTTACAGTTTACGAGCCTCCCATCTACTACAAACTACCTCCTAAGCAGTACTGTCATCGTCCGCATCGGTATTGGCACCATGGTATCAAACAGCTCATTGATCTGAATTGTATGCGGTATTGGTTGCATACTACTATCCTTCGGACTTGTCTGCATCCTCATCTCCTTGATACCATCCTCCCTATTACTATGGCCAGTCCTCCGACAATGAGAGCATTTCCGTCTCGGTACCGAAGTCCCGTAAGAAGAATCATAAGCAGCACACACAGGCTGCCTTGGTCCCGTCGACCTTGATACCGAAGAGATATAAATAATATCTCCAGCCTCCTGTACCTGCCCCTTCTCGGGACTGTGATAAGCTTGGTTATGAAAGTTCATAAAATGATTTATTGATGGGATTTGTAATCACAAAGTTAGCCAAAATGAATTCATCTTGTTTCTGTGTGTGAGTTGAGAGTGGAAATTTCCAAAGTTGATTTCTAGTTGTGCCTCTGTACTGTCCAGCGTGGCCTTATCTCGTAATTAAGCAACCTGGCTAGTACAGGGTGAGGAAGACTAAACAATTTTTCCTTAAGTCTCATGGGAACAAGAAAGGAGGAGATTCCACCACGAGGGAGACGGAAGATGGATGCTAACATACAGGACTCGGCATGGACTATCTAATTCAAAGGACAGTAAGCCTGAGTTCTTCCTATTGAGAAAGTTTACTTTGGATTTTCCAGAAGCCTGGTGGAATGTTGTTTTGATGATGGACACTAGGACTTATAGTTTGTGTTAAGATGTAATTTTTCCTGCAGCCGGAGGGGAGGTCCGCCCCCCCTTTTCTTTTTGTTAGCTAGATGTTTTATTATTTTCGTTTGTTTCAGAGGAATTCTATCTCCTATCAATGGGGATGGGATTGTAAATTGTAAATATGCTTTGCTATGCTTTGCTTAACTTGTTTTCTCTCAGAATTATAGTTTTCTAATAAAAGTAAATATGTTTCAGATCTGGAAGTTAGCTTCTTGAATAGACACAAGCTGTTATAAATAATTGGCTTATCTAAATTGATGCATTTTACAAGGCCACGTATACTTAACGCTACCAATTTGGGTCCAACTGATTCATGAGTGCTAGAAGGATGGAATTCCCTGGTACTCACGTGTGTGGCTTGGTTCTCAATGAAACCGGTCAGACTTGGTGCCAGAGTAAATTTTAGCTACCCTAAGGCAAAATTTACAGACCCAGTTTGCCTAGTAAAGGAGTGATTTACTTTGGAACCTCTCTGCCCGTGGCTGAGCAATTTCTTAGGAAATTGACTTCCACAGAGACTGCTGATCATCATCCGTACAAGTTATTACAACTTATGCGGGACCACCGACCAGTACCGTAGACTCTAGAAAACCTCAAAAGAGGAGACCGGACATTCTCACACAACCAGTATGGGAAAAACAAGAAACCAAACTGTCCAAACACCGTGGTGCAGACGTATCCCCCAATACCTTTACATCGTGTTCTCCACAACAATCGTTGGACTTGGAGTCCTCTGCTTCATTGGCCCTACAGGAGTCACCACCGAATCTTCCCACTCCTGACTCTGATGTAGCTGATGCTAATTCCCCTTCCCCATCTGAAGATTTCTCATTCTACTCCCAGGTGGTCCTTCGCATCGCCAAGGCCATGGATCTGGACGTCCAACAACCTACTTAATCTGAATCTGACAGAGTGTACGAGGATATCAATGAAGATCAAACACTCCCCCCCCCGGCATGGGGATCATTCCATCACTACTCAGATTTATCAACCAATCTTAGACCAAGCCATCTTCGGTACCTCAAATCTCATGGTGTCAAAAATCTCAATAAAACCCATGGTACCAACACAGATTTCCCCTCCAAATATCCCCCACCTAATTCCGTGATTGTAGATGCAACACAGACCCATTCTAGTACCTGTTCCAACGTCACTCCAAATAACGAGGGAAGAAAATTAGATATCACAGTTTGTTGTCCTCTGAAGATGCCGGCCACAGAGACTGGCGAAACGTTAGGAAAAACCACCTTCAGAACACGGCCAAGAAGCCCGAAAAACCCACAACAACCAAAATTAGATATCATCGGTCGTAGAGTTTACTCTCTCGCATCCTTTACCCTCCGGGCTGCTAACTACCTAGCCACAATGGGAGCCTACCACAGGTTCCTTTGGAACAAGGCTCTTCCATCTCTACAGTCTGCCTCTGGAGAGTACAAACCTAGGGGTCTTGCGTATTTCTCAGGTCTTTTCCATGTAATGGTTTATTTTTCCAACTCTTTTTATTTTCAAATTGCTGTTTCTTACATTGAGCCTTTGTTTATGTTGTTTTCAATAGTTTTCTTCAATTACATTTAAGTAATTTTTCTCTACTTGTACTGATTTATTATTTAGGCTTCTGTTTTCATTCTCTATTACCTACTCTATTTGCAGTAGTGCTCTGCCTCCAATCTTTTCATGGTAAGTACAATGTGTTCACGTTACTTTTTAGATGTAGTGCATGGTGCTTGTTTATTAGTTTCAGTGTTTTTTGTTCCAATACTTCTCATTCATTTTGAGTCCAATCTGTTATTCCAGCTGGGCATCTAATTACTGGAACTGCCCATGTACTTATTGCTTTGAATATATTTCCACCATTTAATTTTGTTTTTAAGACTTTCTGCACTCTTTTGTTGTATTCCTTTCTGTCATTATTTTAACTTTTGTGTGTAGGATGTTATCTGCTTGTAGTATTCCAAGGTATTTGTAATCTTCATCACTTGATGGTGATTTTATAATATTACCATTTAAAACTCTATTCCATCTAGTTTTTCGATCTTGCCATGGTATATAGTCATAAACATATAGGCAGTTCCAGTGTATTGATACTTTGGTTCTTTGAAAGTAGTGATGGGTGTTTCTATGTTTTACTTCCTTACCTGAACACTAGATGTTTACTGTCCTTTAATAGGATATTTCTGTTTAAGTGTTATTACTTGAGTAATGGAGGATCTTAAACCAATGTTCGATAGATTTGTTGAAACAATTTTAAAAGGCCACCTATGGAGAACACCATTCAATCCTACAATATATTTTGTAATTTAATAGTGTGTTGTGTGAAGTTTATTGAATGCTCTGAAATTAAGCAGAAGTATATGCTAAATTTCACATTTGGCTGTGTTATATGAATTAATAATGGATTTATTTTGAAAGTAGAGACACATTAGTGTATGAAAAAAACCTGGCCTAGTTTTCTGTTGTATTGCAACATACTACTGACCTGCTCATCTCTTAATCATTGCTTTCTATTGTGTCAAGAATATCCTTGGACCAGTATTAATAGTGCTCCTGTTGAGGCTTCTGGACCAAACTAATGCTAAGAATATTTTTATGTCCCCCCTTTGCTCCTGCAGCAAGCTGTCACTTATCTTTTCACACTAATATGCTGGTTAATGAAATAAAAAATGTGTTTTCTATAAACTGTAAAGAAGGCAGTAGAGTACTTTTATAGCACAACTGGGAACAGTTACTTTTTTGGACTCTACAAATTCCTTAACCAGCACAACCAGGGACCATAGGAAAAGAGAAAGTAAAAGAAAAGAAAGTAAAAAAAAAACAGTTGCAAAAACTGTAAGTTGAACAAATTCAGAATAAGGCACTATGTCTCTATGAGAAGTGTGTTAAGAACATGGCAAGATAAATGAAATAGAATGAAATGTAATGAAAGCTAGATTGAGATCAACTTTAAAGGGAAGAATCAGGTTCTATTGCCTGACAGACTGTCTGTGGGATGTGGCTGCACTCTCACCATTTCATCCTCTTAAGTTTTTGGATGCTACATTTGGCTTTTTCTCCCTGAAACTTTCCTTGCCAGTGGTGGGGTCTTAGGCAAGAGTGTAAGGTAGTTAACGTTCTCTTTAGCTCATCAGTTGCTTGCCTCCATGCAGTGGAAGACCTGGTTTGCCTCCACATCTGTTCATCATGAGGAAGGCCTGACGACACTTTTGTTGTGTCACACTGTCATTTGTGAGCTGATTTCAAAGCAGTTTTTGCTGTTGTGTTAATGGTGGCAACTACTTTGAAATTCTCCTTGCTCACGAAGTGTCAGTTTTTGTTTCTGTAGCCTTACTAGACATGAGGTATTTTGTCAATACTAGTAACTGGCTCAATGTAGAAAGAAGCCTGGTTATTATTTCTTTCAGGAAAGGAATAATGAAACCTACTTCTTTTGTTCTAGATTCTTCTGCTTATTATTCATTGCTGGGTTACTTACTCTTACTCCAGTGGACAAATTTATATATTTTGGCAGTACTGTATTATACTGTGCTCTCATTTGTGATGAAGTGACCTCATAAATCTGTAAAGCCAGTGCTGTCTTCAGAAAACTTGAATCCTCCATGTGGAATCAATGTGGAATCAATCTTTCTGTTAAGCTAGTTGTTCTGTCTTCTCTACCTTATGGAACAGACACTGGGAGTATCTATCAATATTTGTTGTTGTTTAGTTGTTTAGTCATGTCCGACTCTTCGTGACTCCATAGACCAGAGCACGCCAGGCCCTCCTGTCTTCCACTGCCTCCCGGAATTTGGTCAAATTCATTCTGGTAGCTTCGATGACACTGTCCAAACATCTCATCCTCTGTCGTCCCCTTCTCCTCTTGCCTTCACACTTTCCCAACATCAAGGTCTTTTCCAGGGAGTCTTCTCTTCTCATGAGATGGCCAAAGTATTGGAGCCTCGGCTTCAGGATCCGTCCTTCCAGTGAGCACTCAGGGTTGATTTCCTTTAGAATGGATAGGTTTGTTCTCCTTGCAGTCCAGGGGACTCTCAAGAGCCTCCTCCAGCACCACAATTCAAAAGCATCAATTCTTCAGTGGTCAGCTTTCTTTATGGACCAGCTCTCACTTCCGTACATCACTACAGGAAAAACCATAGCTTTGACTATATGGACCTTTGTTGGCAAGGTGATGTCTCTGCTTTTTAGGATGCTGTCAAGGTTTGTCATCGCTTTCCTCCCAAGAAGCAGGCGTCTTTTAATTTCATGGCTGCTGTCACCATCTGCAGTGATCATGGAGCCCAAGAAAGTAAAATCTGTCACTGCCTCCGTATCTTCTCCTTCTATTTGCCAGGAGGTGATGGGACCAGTCTCTTCCAAGGAAGATTATTAATCTTTTTGTGAAATGAAAACTGTCACATGTGGTTAACAAAGTTTGCAAGTGGAGTCTGAGCCATTGAAAATGCCTGATTTGAGTTGCTGGTGCAACTTGAGTCAGATTCAACTGTGAGTTGCATGACTCAGTAATATTGTGACTGTTTCTAGTTTCTAATGATTCACTAGTACTGACCAACCCTTCGAGAGAAAGATGTCGAAAACATTCCCCCCTCCCATTTTCCAGTGGTAGTTCATGGGAGGAGCAAAAGTTTGCATTTCCACATCACCATTTCAGCTGAACTAGATACCTTCCAAATCAATCTGAATGAACACTGCTGAGTTGTTTTCCAAATTGCAGTCTGCATAAAATTTGATGCTCACTGTACCACCTTATTACAATATTTGGTGATAATCACAATCTAGTGAAATTCAAAAGAATATTTGTATATAAGAGAAACTGTACTGGCGGGTTAACATATATCCATGGGCTGATATGAGCCTAAGCAACAGAGCCTGCTTGTATTTATGCAGCAGC